CATAGGTAATATAAATATTAAGATATTAAGGTGGATTTTGTTTAAAGAAGCATGGGATCTAAAACCAACATTTTGATGAGGCACATTTTCGCCGTATCGAAGTATCCTCATAAGACAAGGGAATAAAAATAGCAGATTTTCATAATTATACTCTCAGTCTTATGACTAATGAGGGTATATTTACTTTGATGCACAAAAATATGCCTCATCGTAATATTTTTCTTTGGACCAAATACGTTTCAGACAATTTGGAGTCTGAAAATTGTTCATCCGACTGTCTGTCTGCCCTTGATGCGCACGGCAACTCTCGAAAGCAGTAACCGATTTCAACCAAACTTTGGACATATCGTAATCATAAATCTCACAAACTATTTCTATCATAAAAGGTGCTGAGATGTCGTAAAGGTACTCTAAATGTCGTAGGCTGAGGACATGTAAATTATCATAATATAACAATATTAGAGCAAAAACTGAGTTTCGAAAATATCGTTTCCAGGTCTCGTAGAAAACGATTCAAATCACCAAATTTTTCGGAGTTCTACAATAATTGGAAATTGCCCAGAACATTTCATTGTGAATTTTGCGTACGGTTCTTGCTTTACAATCTTACATAGTAATGTTGACTTACGAATAAAATTAAATACATCATTTGGTTTCAGTTGCCAAGTACATATTGGAAATATTTTATTACGATGTACTACCGAATATCGTACGATAATAATCAATGCGATAAAAAGCATACATTTCTGATAAGATTTTTTGAAACTTATAATTATGTATTACTTAAGTGTAAACTAATGAAAGTATATGTTCAAAATAGTCATTATTAAAAACAGAATGTGTAGCAATGATGGATTGCTGGACTTTAAATTTGTAGACCTAGGTATCAAAACGGAAGATTATTCAATTTTCCAGATTTTGGAAAAAATGAAATAATTTATTTGAATACAAATGACATCAAGAAAAAATATACTATTTACTTAGACTACAATTAAATAATAATATTTCAAAACTTATTTGTTTTATTATATTTGACATTCATATCGAAATAATTTGGAAAATGCATATGCGAATTTCATAACACCAATGCAGAGGTCGGTAACAGTGTCTGAAATAAAGAAACAATGGAATGCAGAACTAGCCACAATCGAGTGAATGGAGAGCCACAACCAATAAGTGAGGGGAGGGACAGAGGACAATACCAAAACAAACCACAGCCGAAAAATTAATGGTGGTGATTTTTTTCTTGTGAGGAATACATTTGTTTTTGTCAGTAGAGAGAGGAAAAAAATAGCGCAAATGATTGTAAGGTAGAACGATGTATGTTTTGAAGTATAGTTTTGATATTACACCTAAGTCTGTTTTTACACCGTAGATTGGTTCCAGAAGAAGTCGTGTAAAAAAAAACATGTAAAAAAGACATTGATCTTATACATAAAGGGAATTCCCCTAAATTAGTGCCATTAACATTTGCTTTGACTAGTAAAAATTGTTTGTACGCGCTAAAGGGGAATTCACTTAAATCTTTAAGCTAGTGTTCGCAAACTATCGATACTATCGATGATTTCAGACTTTTTTCTTTCATAAATACTTTTTTTGTGATATGAACATACTTCGCAAAAATTAAATTTGACAAAAAAAATTTCAAATCGTGCTAAATGGAATAAAATCGTCTAAAAAAATTAAAAATATTCAATTTTCCAACCGTGTTATATCAAAACCGTGTACAAAAAGACCGTGTAAAAACAGACTTAGGTGTACTGATTTTTTATATATTTTTTTTTTTTTTTTTGGAAAAAATTAGTATATGCATAAACAATATGGAAAAAAATCAATGAAATTATGAAAATATTTTTTTGTTCAGAAACTATTTTGGCTAATAGAAGATTCTTTAACGATCTGAAGCCGAAAAATAGTGTCACGAAAATCAGAATAAATGTTTTCTCATAAAGTTGGCTATTGGAGCAGTTTTATTGATTTAAATTGATTTTTTTTATTATAATTGTTATAGTTGTAACAATTAGTATTTAAATAGTATGTAAAATTACAATTAAGTTAGATGTAGAAGAATAGGATAATGAAATAAAATTATTGTTGTAAATTAAACCGCCATCAATACGCGTCTTTTTTCTTCTCGCCGTCTAGAAACCCTCAAATAAATGAAAAATAATATTTGAAAAATTATAAATAAATTAATTTTATAATTGAAAAACAAAGAACTTACCTTAAAATAAAGGTAAACATTGACAATATGAAAATAAGTAAACAAATTTAGAGTTAAGTAAGAGTTTGAATAGTAAAAGCACTGCAAGAAGTTGTAAATTTTTTATTAATTCAATGTATTTTTACTTATTATAAAAAGTGGACTTATTAGCTTTTACGTTAAGCCGTTAAGTCTTATGTATAAAATGTTCATATTATTATATTGTTATATAAATTAAATTTCTTACTGACTAATATATTCCCTTATTGTAAATAAGAAGTTACTGGCAGTAATGTATTGCCAACTTTATTTTATATAAGCCATTGACATACATATTGGAAACGGAAAAGTTATTGGTGAAATTGTTGATATTTAAATATACCTATATTAATATAATTACCATTCCGCATTTTAAGATTGAAATCTTCGTTTCAAAGAATGCAAATATAAATGCATAAGTTATTAATAATATTGCTGAATATATTAATAAACATGTATTTGTTTGTTATTAAACAAAGCATTATTATCCATATTTAAATAATAATTTCATCATACAAATTTTCCATTCACAATTTGTTTATTGTCAGTAAATGACTGTATTGGTTGGAAAAGTTTTTTGATTTTGTAATTGACTTGTTAAATGATAGTGAAATTAAAAACATGTTATTAATTTTTATATTTTCAATTTATAATTGTTTATTACTGACTAAAAATTATTCAAAAGTCAATAAATTTTATAAGCATTAAGGGATTTAATATAAAGAAGGAAATCAATCAGTTGTGGTCTGGTAATAGAAATGTCTTTTCGCCTATCATAGAATTATGCAGTCCAGCAAGTGTCAAAACAAAGCTATTATTTATGACATTAAATCACAAACGATAACAAATAATTGTTAATTGACAAGAAATTATTTTATCTATGGGGTTTTGAAAAAAAAACAACAAGAGTTTAGAGAAATGATCTGATAAAAATAAAATTTATGATCATAAAAATCTTTGGCATTAAGATCGATTTTATAAAATGTATCTAAATATGCCACGCTTACAGTGTGGAATATCAGATGCATATTTTAAACAACTAAAAAGTATAAGTCGGTGTTTGTCGACCCGATATGCCAACCAATGACTTATCCTGACTTCTGGATGCTATTTCTAAAGGAGATACCAACATTAGTAGACCCATGAATTCGATCTTTAAAATATTCTTTAAAAAATCCACCCTGATGATCCTCAGTAAAAATATATTTAAAAAATCCACGCTATAGGTCTGATGATCCTTAGAAAAATATATTTAAAAAATCCACGCTTTTAGGACTGATGATCCTCAGTAAAAATATATTTAAAAAATCCACGCTTTTAGGACTGATGATCCTCAGTAAAAATATATTTAAAAAATCCACGCTATAGGTCTGATGATCCTTAGAAAAATATATTTAAAAAATCCACGCTTTTAGGACTGATGATCCTCAGTAAAAATATATTTAAAAAATCCACGCTTTTATGCCTGATGATCCTCACTAAAAATATATTTAAAAAATCCACGCTTCTAGGCCTGATGATCCTCAGTAAAAATATATTAAAAAAATCCACGCTTTTAGGCCTGATGATCCTCAATAAAAATATATTTAAAAAATGCACGCTTCTAGGCCTGATGATCCTCAGTAAAAAAATATATTTAAAAAATTCATGCTTCTAGGCCTGATGATCCTCAGTAAAAATATATTTAAAAAATTCACGCTTCTAGGCCTGATGATCCCTAGAAAAATATATTTAAAAAATCCACGCTTATAGGTCTTATGATCCTCAGTAAAAATATATTTAAAAAATCCACGCTTTTATGCCTGAAGATCCTCACTAAAAATATATTTAAAAAATCCACGCTTTTAGGCCTGATGATCAATAAAAATATATTTAAAAAATCCACGCTTTTAGGCCTGATGATCAATAAAAATATATTTAAAAAATCCACGCTTTTAGGCCTGATGATCAATAAAAATATATTTAAAAAATCCACGCTTTTAGGCCTGATGATCAATAAAAATATATTTAAAAAATCCACGCTTTTAGGCCTGATGATCAATAAAAATATATTTAAAAAATCCACGCTTCTAGGCCTGATGATCCTCAGTAAAAATATATTTAAAAAATCCACGCTTTTAGGCCTGATGATCCTCAATAAAAATATATTTAAAAAATTCACGCTTCTAGGCCTGATGATCTTCAGTAAAAATATATTAAAAAAATCCACGCTTTTAGGCCTTGTGATCCTCACTAAAAATATATTTAAAAAATCCACGCTTTTAGGTCTTATGATCCTCAATAAAAATATATTTAAAAAATCCACGCTTATAGGTCTGATGATCCCTAGAAAAATATATTTAAAAAATCCACGCTTATAGGTCTTATGATCCTCAGTAAAAATATATTTAAAAAATCCACGCTTTTAGGCCTGATGATCCTCAGTAAAAATATATTTAAAAAATCCACGCTTTTAGGCCTGATGATCCTCAGTAAAAATATATTTAAAAAATCCACGCTTTTAGGCCTGATGATCCTCAGTAAAAATATATTTAAAAAATCCACGCTTATAGGTCTAATGATCCTTAGAAAAATATATTAAAAAATACACGCTTACCGTTTTGATGATCCTCAGTAAAAATATAATTAAAAAAATCCTCGTTTATAGGTCTGATGATCCTTAGAAAAAATTGATTTAAAAATCCACCCTTTTAGGTCTGATGATCCTCAGAAAAATATAATTAAAAATCCAGGCTTATAAATATTTTAGTTTATTAAGAATACTTTTTAAATCCCATTCTAACTTTATTCAATGTTTTTTCAGGCATTTTATGTTCATCCTATATTTGGGGTTACCTTTGCGACATGTATGGCCGTAAGCCGATTTTAATGTACACAACACTAATTGGAAATTTGGTTTCACTGGCATCAATATTTGTTCCGAATTTCTGGTTGTTTGTTTTCCTACGATTTGTAGTGGGAATATTGTAAGTAAATTGAAAATAAAACTATACAAAATATCTCAAACCCACTCTCTCCCCCTTTAGCATTGCTGGTGCATCATCAACGACCTATGCATATTTGGGTGAATTTGTTTCGATACGTCATCGGCCGGTGGTCATCAATTTCACCAGTATGTTTGTGGCTCTGGCTATGACTTATGTACCAGCAGTAGCCTGGTTGATATTATCCATGGATTGGTCTATCGATATTTCCGATAGTTTTGCATTCCGTCCATGGCGTCTGCTGACAGTATTTAATATATTGCCTGGATTAATTGCCATTTTGATTATGTCGAAGTTACCTGATAGTCCCAAGATTTTAATGTCGATACGTAAACAGGATGAGGCATTTGCAGCTACCAATTGGATTGCTAAATTGAATACGGGAAAAACTTTGGCCGATTTTAATATTTATAAAATCTATGATGAAAATCCAACGGAAAGTGATAAATTGCTACAAACTTCAAAATCATTGTGAGTGAGAGTAGAAAAATAAGAGGAAATTGAAAATTAAGTTAATATTTTGTATTTTTAGTGTCCAGATAATGAAGCAAATGTGGGTCGATACAAAACCCTTGTTCAAGAAGCCCCATCTGGTGAATTTTGTCACCTGCTGCATTGTAATGTGTGGAGTATTTTTTGTGTAAGTATATTTCAGAATGGAGCAAAAAAATTGAAATTCGAATATAAGTCGAACTTCCATAATTCGAACCACCTTTATCTACAAAACAATTCGAGTTATGGAATGAATAATATGCCTCCTAATTTGTATATAAGTCGAAGTTCCATAACTCGAACCATCAATACCTTCAAAAAACTTCGAATTATGGAATTAATAATTTCCTCTTTAATGCTGTCATCACTTCGACTTATGGAAGTTCGACTGTTGTAATTTCATAGGTTTCTAAAAAAACTCTATGTTCTAATTTGATTTTTTATTAAAATTTCTAATGATATCTCTTCCAAGCCTCATCTGACTTCCACAATTCTTAGTCCCCTTATAAATAATTTATTTTCTCTTTTTTTATTTTGCAGTAACTCCGGCATGGGTCTTTGGTATCCAACAATTCAAAACCGCCTTGGCTCCGTTGATGATGAAACCCAGATGAGTATATGTCAAGTTATTGATGCCTCAATGGACCAGCAGAATTCCAATTCAACTGAATATGTGAGTATAAAAATTGAACATTACAAGAATTTATTATTTATTTTCTCCTCCCTCTCTCCTTATTAGGTCTGTGATGATACGATAACGAGAAAATCCTATATTGATTCAATAACATTTGGTTTAGTGTATTTGGGTGCATATTTTGTTTTGGGTTCCATCATTAATCCATTGGGTCGTAAACGTACCATACTTTTGTTATTGGTTGTTTCTGCAATATGTGGCATCGTATTACATTGGATAATGGAACCCATTGGCATTGTGGCATGTTTCATTTTATTTGTCATGCTACCGGGTCTGTGTGTATCGATATTGAGTGGAGCTGTGGTAGATTTAGTGCCAACACATTTGAGGTGAGTTCAAGACAATTTTTTTAACAAAAAATAAATAAAAAGAAACTGAAAAATATTTAAAAGAAAATCCAGGAATTGATAGTGGCGTTGTGAAAAAACTCCACGAACTTATAAAATACAGGAATATTCATACCGTGATGTTATTAGTTTTGTTTATGGCGGTACCAAGGTATATAAAACGCTCACCACCTCGAAGCTACTGGACGTCTTGCGCATTGATACCATCAGCTTGTTCTTCTCGCCATTTACTGCCAGATCCACTTTGACAGTTCAAAGGTGGCTGTTGCCGCTCGCAATGTTCGACCCATTATGTTGATGTCATCGGCGTAGCCGAGTAACATATGCTCACATTTACATCTCGTATGGCCTTTTATAGAAACATAAGATTACACGATAAACTATCACCTTGTCTGAATTCTCGTTTGGTATTGATTCAAGGTCTGCCTCAAAGAGCAACCAGTGACTGTCATTAATCCTACTCTAAGGATCAGATTTGTCGCAGATCGTAGGGGGTTGATGGGCCAGTCAGACGCGAAGTATTCGTCTTTTCGGGTGCAGTTTGTAGCAGTTCCTCTGGAAGTGTATCCCAACTTTTCTCTTCCGGTATAAGTCTGTCCAGTTGGTCGAACTCTTCTGTTTCTCTAGACTATCGCGAATAACAATAAGGGTCCTATGTAGGTCATCCCCTCCCAGAACTGCAGCCCTGTCAGTCGTTTCCTTTGTCATTTCTACAGAAGGATGTGCCTGCACCAAAGCCATCGGTTTGGTGTTTTACTCTTTGGTAAGATTTCCGAATTCCATTCTGACCCTGTACATCACTACGCTCACGTTTTTTATGTTCTTTCTTTTGAAAATACGTTTCTCCTCTCTTGTTTTCTTCCGATAATTCTCTCTTGCATTACGTGTTGCTACTGTTTGCAGGGTTGCCCTATACGCTGCGTTTTTCAAATCAGTAGCATTACGGCACTTCTGATCATACCATGGGGTTTTTCATGGTGATCTTTGGTACTCAATTGTTGCTTTTGCTGCAGTTTGTAGGGAGTTCGCAACGGCAAAATTGTACCTCATAGACCCCATTTTTCTTTGGACCAAATCCGTTTCAGACAATTTGGAATTGATTCAAAAATGTCCGATTTATATTTTATACCCGGTTATTGAAAACGTTTTTAATTTCACATCATTGAAAAAAAAATCTACCTGGCTATATCTTTTCTTTTGGTATTTATATAAAATTTTGAATTATTTTTTATAATTTTCAGAGGGAAAGCTGTTTGCATTTGCCTAATGTTGGGACGTTCGGGTAGTGTTATTGGCAGCAATATTATTGGTGTCTTACTGGAGTCATATTGCGCAATAACATTCGGGGTATTTTATGGCCTGGTTTTGGGTAAGTTTTACAAATTTTAAAATTCTATTTTAATACATCTACTAATTAAATTTTATTTGTTACAGTTTGTGCTGCCTTGACTTTATTGCTACCAATCTAAAAAAAACTGTGATAATAGTTTGTAGAATCCGAACTAAATGTGGTTTTAGGTTTTAAAGGTTTTAAAAAGTAGTTATAGCTAAAGTGTTCAAATAGTTTTATTAGATTAAGACGTAAGTTAAGAGTTTAATTAGAATAAGTGTGGTGAAGAAAAATATTGTATTTTTATAAAAGAAGTATTTCATATTTTTTATATATTAGAATCGTATGGAAGGTATTGGGGTTGATTTTGCGAAGACTTCTGATATATTTTAATTAATGTAAGGCCTTAACCTTGTGCAAATCGACATATGAGATCTCCAACCATATCATAGTATTTTTTTCTTATTTAATATGAAGATTGACCCTCTTTATTTTAATTAAGTTTGAGCGACTATATGTTATATCAAATACAGAATTATATGATATTCTTTAATTAATTACATTTTCCATTTTGATAGCTTACTACTTTTTATCCTTAATGACTTTAATGTTTGAAAGAAGTTAATTAATATCCGTAAATATATTTAAGATGTTAATTAGTCCGAGCTTCTAATATAATTACTTCCCATCCCCTTTTATTAATAACAAATATATATTATTTTCGAATTTATTATTATTTTTATTTCGATATAAGTTGCTCCATAATTATTTTATAATGAAAATGTCATGTTAAACTCTTACTTCAAAATAAATAAATATTCAAACATATATTTTAAATAAATAATGATTTTTTTATTTTGCTTCGCTTCCATTGTATTATTTACAGGTGAGAGATTAAGGATAGACGTGTACAGCTTCTTCGTTTGTGGTCATTAATTATAGTGGGGGTGTGTGTGTGGGGACGACGATATGTAGTATCATTTGGGGTAGACATATTAAGGACTCTCGCTTAAAAAGGTTCCTCAACATTAGACATATCCAAGGGGTGGCCCATCATTTCACCATCATTGGTGAAATGATTTCTCAACATTTGAATCAGTGGCATTCTCTTGCCGAACCTATAAAATGAAAAACGAAATTATTAATATTTTCTTGATTAGCATATTTTACCGTGCGTATTTTATTCGTTTGTTTTACTTACCTAACTCGTGCCCTATCACCATAATAGGTATCCAAATCTTGCAAATATTTCATTGCATCAGCCATATTCGATATGTCATTGTTGCGTGGTGGCCGGGAATTGTTGGCATTGGCGTTGGCTGTCATCAAAGCAACAACAGCAACCAAGATGAGTACTAGACGAACGGCTGAGACCATGTTTGAGCTATAAATGTGAAAAAAAAAAACAAAACAAAATTAATAAAAAGATAGGAAATGCAAACAAACATTCAAGGAAAACAAAAGAAATGACAAGGATTCTATTCCGGGAAAATAAAAACGCAACAGAATATAAAAAAATGTAAAAAGGTCTAAAATTATGTTGCCGAACGATATTTTGGTTTGTGGTAGTCTAAGAAGTTATTACCTAGTGTGGAGGTGAAAACATTTTCTTAAAGCTATTTCCATTATTTTTCTCACAATTAAATAACTTATTTTTACTCTAGCCCATTAAAAACACTGTAAAATCAGTTTTTCCCAAAAAAAAAACATCAACTTCAAGTCATTTTAAAAAGTCAATGCAACGTTTTTTGCAAATAACGTGATTTTATTATAAGTAGGCATATAATGTAAACTTGGAAATGATACACATAAAAAGTAAACAATCTCCTTCATCCAGTAGTGAAATTTTCATGTCATTATCTCAATTCATTTCAAAGTTATAGCCATTTGAAGTAAACCTTATATAAAAACATAGCGGCTACACGATTCTGTTTGCCTAGTACCGAAAATGAAAAAATCGAAGAAATTGCAAACCTCAAAAATATAAAAATTTCAGACATCAGAGATGCCAGATTGTTGGTTTTATGTATTTTCTGGTGTTAGTTTTCAAATTGTGAGCATACTTTCAGGCGCAACATTCAAACGGAAAGTAAATTAAAATTTTTAAAGTCACAGCTTTTTAACGTAACGCCTAAAAGTATGCTCACATTTGGCAAATTGGCATAAAACACTGTTGTGGAAACGATCCGGTAACACAGCAGTCTGTGTGCAGTCATCGAATTTTGTGCATTTGCAATTTCATCAATTTTCCCATTTGAGGTAATAGGCAAACAGAATCGTGTAGCCGCGATATTTTGACTCAAGCTTAACTTCAAATGGCTATAACTTAGTAATGACTTGAGATAATGAAATGGAACTTTCACTATTGGATGGCGGGAGATGTTGTAGTTTTTATGTGTATCAATAATGAAGCACTTCCCGAATTGAGAATTATTAAAAATTATGTTTTTCTTAAAAATGGTCGAAATCGATTTGAATTGATGAAAATTTGTGTATTTAAAGGGGGAAATGATATTATATTGTTGCTGAAGGGTTCAAGTGAAGGGAAATCGCCTCATTTTGAGCAAAAATTATGACTTATGACACAATATGAAACTGCTGTTCCTATCCACATCTTCCAATCAAATTGGCTGTAATTTGTAATTGTAGAGCATAAAATACCTCCTATTGGCATACATTTCTCAATAGAGATTTATGTTTTTATATAGAAGTATTTGTCTGAAGAATTTTAAATATTTTGAAGGGCCTGTATTTTTAAGCCGAAGTGGCTGTATTTCGGTTTAAAAGGTTTATGTTTTTAAGTAGTCCTTCCCCATAGAAGTATTTGTCCGAATAATTTTAAATATTTTGAAGGGCCTAGACCGAAGTGGCTGTATTTCGGTTTAAAAGGTTCAAAACAAAATCTGGCTTTCTTTCAATGTGGGTCCATATTTTGAGCAAAAATTACTGATGATTTATGATGGAATATGAAGCTGCTGGTCCTATCCAAATTTTCCAATCAAAATGGCTATGCAATTTATTTCCTCCTGACATAAATTTTCCAATAGAGGTTTATGTTTTTAAATAGTTCACCTCCTTTTTAAGTTTTTATCCGAACGATTTTAGATATTTTGAAGGTCCTCGGCTTATATTTCAACTAAAATGACTGTATTTTGATATTTTGGTTCGGCTCAAAGTATAAATAGCATTTCGAGCTTTCTTTCAATATGAGTCCGTATAATGTATATAAATGCCATATAACCGACTCGATTTTTTAAGTTTTTTTTGTGCTACACACATTTTCCCATTTGATTGTCATTTGGCATTTTGATGAACTTAATGGGTAAAAAACATCCTCGACTAGAAAATTGTAAATTAATAGGTCTATCTACAGACATATTCTAAATGTAATGATTCTGCCCCATTCTAGAGAGAGGATAAAATACCTCCGATCAATTAGGAATGTACGGCTTAGTCACTGATAGGTCATCAAAAAAGGTCTTAAAAGTCCACGCCTTAGTGACTGATGGGTCTTTAAAATCCACGTCTTAGTCACTGATAGGTAATCAAAAAGGGCACTAATATTCCCTCATAAAAGGGTATTTAAAAAGCTACGACTTTGTTACTGGTTTGCCATTCAATTTAGCCATGTCCGTCTTTCCTCATGTTGAGATCATGACAAAGCTCGCAATATCGAAATTAGAGCTTTAAAATTTTGCATATACATTGCTACTATTCCTAGGATGTTTGTTATTGAACATATGATATATCGGTCCACTTTTTAGGGTAGGCTTTTGAAGCTTTGGGCACGTTTCTAAAATAATTAGCTATAATTTAATATTTGGGTTCTAAATTGGTAACATATCTTCTTACCAAGAATATTCGGTATTTTGGGGAGTTTGGACACGTTTTCAACCGAATTGTCTCTAATTTGATTTTTTAGGTTCTTATGAGGGTGTTAACATTTTCTACCAAAAAAATTTTCAATATCGGTTTACGTTTTGGTATATTCCCCATATTCCACAATCTGGTGAATTCGGAATAATGGTGAATCATGAGAAATGTCCTGTATAATTTTTGGTATGTTGAAGTTCCTCAACCTATTTAGTGCAACATGGGCTATGATTTAAAATAAATATTAAGGTTTGAAAAAATTTGGACCAAATCCAATACACGCTTCTATTCTTCTGAGATAATCAAAGTTGTAGTTATCTGGTTGAGAACCAGAAGAAGTATAATTCGGTTATTCAGATAATAAATTAAAATAATAAATTTATCGCCTTCTTTATTAGTTTTATTATCTCCGGTTTAACATTTTTGAAAACTGGTTTATTCTTTCACAAAATTAGTTTTTTCGTAGTTGGTATAAGTCAATGCATGGACCTATATTGACAAATTTCTGGCTGATGATGTTTTTTACCCATTAGGTTCATCGAAATGTATGACGTAATGTATTTATAAAAATTTGGAGAGTCTATTTTTTGAAGTATCTAAATAAGTTTGTTAAGAATGCTTCTCAATCTGTTTCATATGCAATTTTTAATTTTTACAAAATGTTGACCAATAGCCGCTAGGTCAACTTCGAACTAGATCTATGTTTCGAAAGAATATCTGTTGTTCCTTTGAAGCTCTTCTTAGTACGAAAAACCATTTTAGACGTGTTGCCAATTAAAATAGTGTGAAGCGAACTATGCGGAACTATTAAATACGACGTTTATTTTTTTACTCTCAAAGGACACTTCCCGAAATCCCAACGACTCCATTCGCAATGAATATTTATCGAAAGAATTTATTTATTTTTTTAAGAGTTACCCATTTCATTTTCACTTCTTAAAAATAAATGTTTACCTTTTTGGTTTTGTGTGTGTTTTGTTGAAGACACGAAAAAATTCACTTGATTTCAAAATTGAGTATCAACTGCTGTTATTTTCTTAATTTTTTGGTTTTTATTCAGTTTCTGAAAAACTCCACAAAATATTTATTTGTCACTCGAACTGAACTGATGACGATGCACTCTGTTTGACCTGTTGAATGGTAATGTGCTTTTAAACCACAAAAGAGCATCCTTTTATACAGAAAAATGCCAACAGAAACACCGTGTCCCGGTGATAACTGCCACCGTAGAACAATCACTGTTGTGACAGATTAGTATGTTAATGT